CTTGGGTCTTCGAACCCTGATCCCTTACATCAAAAGGATGTACAACTCAGAAGATTCTGCCACATTACTAGAATCCCATTCAAGAATTAATAATTAGTCTAGTTCATTATATTGTATGAATATCTCCCAGGGTGAAGCCACTCAGGTTGGCAGGCTTCCTTTCATTCTTGTGAGGTTCCAAAAGCCGAGGTAGTCTCAGCAAACAGAGCTTTACCATTTCAGGCATTTGATATAATTGAGGTAAGAGGCAGTGTCATCTCTTGCTCTGAGCCTCATTTGAAGTGTTAATGCAATATTGTATTCCTCTCAGTTCATAATCCACTTACTCATTTCTTTCCTCTGAGCTACTGTTTCTTCTCTAAAAAGTACCCAAACTTTCCACCATTGGAAGGGGCATTACAATCAGCCACTGTGCTAGTCTAGATTGCAGGCAACAATACTAGTCTAGCAAGTATCTCTTCCTCAGTGTACCCCCATTCAGACAGGGTTAGGTTACAGAGGTGCAAAACTAGTGGACTATTTTTTGCCATCAGGCAATATAGCTGTATTAACTGTTAGCTCCAATTTTGCTGGATGGGGTGAAGGCACAACCCATTCCCATCAGTCCATTCGAAATGCTGACTTAAGTTAAAATACATAGTTACAATTTCTAGCTTATGAATCATCCTTGCTTCCAGCACATGTAGTTGCAGCCGTGGTCCTAAGACTATTGCATCAGGTAGGGGAATGGGAAAAAAAAAGAAAGTTGAGGTGATGTGGGGGGAAAAAAAGACAAGAAAAAGTATCTTGTACATAAGAAAAGACTATCTGTCACCTTTATCCTTCAGGAGCTGCTTCAGGAACTAAGAACAAAAGCTAAATACTTCAACAAAAGATATTCTTGGCCAGGTGTGGTACCCCACACCTGTAATCCCCAGCACTTTGTGAGGCTGAGGCCGACAGACTTGAGGTCAAGAGTTTAAGACCAGCCTGGCCAACATGGCAAAACCCAGTCTCTACTAAAAATACAAAAATTAGCTGGGCGTGGTGGTACACTCCTGTAATTCCAGCTACTGGGAGGCTGAAACAGGAGAACCCAGGAGGCAAAGGTTGCAGTGAGCTGAGATAGCACCACTGCACTCCAGTCAAGGTGACAGTGAGACTCTGTCTCAAAAAAAAAAAAAAAAAAAAAAAAAGATGTTACTCTAGTCACTTAGGAAATAATAAGACTTACAGGAGCTAAGAATCAGGAATCATGGATGAAAACCAAAATACGTCTTTTATAATATTGTAATATAAAGGAGAAGGGACAGTACTTCCTTATAAAGGAATCCCAATTAGTAAGTGAAGAGAATAAAAGAAATAAAAAATCACCATTAGGCAGGTAACACCCACAGATGGATGCTAAAATCAGTGGGCGAGAGTTTGAAAAGAAACAGGATAATAGCAAAATGTCAAAGTATTTCTCCCAAGATTTGGATCAGTTACAAAGGGAAAAACAGTACCTTTAAGTGGAGAAGCCCAGCAGACCTTGCCATGTGATCAAGGTTACCATTACCAGTAATAACGTTTTTATCAACATTATGTACTCCCTAGTATGATATACTGAAAAGGACACAGCATCACTTTCTGGTATTCTTGCCAGAAATGCATAACCTCAATCATGTTTATGAGGAAACTTTAGTCAAACCCAAATTGATACACATTCTACAAAATAACTGATCAATATTCCTCAAAAGTGTTCTCGTCACAAAAGACAAGAATGAAGAACTGTCATACTTTAGAAGAAACTAAGGAGACATGACAGCCAAATACAATGTGGGATCATGGGATCCTGAAAGAGAAAGGACACTAAGGAAAAAAACTGGCGAAGATCTTACCAAGTCTAGTTTAGTTAATAGTATTGTACACATGTTAATTTTCCTGGGTTTTGATCACTGCACGTTGCTTATATAAGAGGAAAATGGATAAATTATATCCATGAACTCTGTACTGTTTAGCTTTTCTGTAAGTCTAAAAATTATTTTGTAAAATATGGACATAGGTCATTTTCAGCAGTTTTTGCCCTGGTTACTTGGATAAGCCTTGAACTTGAAACATTGCATGTAACAACTCTTTCTTGATATTAAGCTTTTCTATTGTATAAATGCCCTTTGAACAGCCATTCCAGTGAAAGCAGAACTTACATGGAAAGTAACTTTAGTTACATAGATGGGAAAGCCATACCCAGTGTATTCGTGATGGATGATAAAAAAATAGCAAAATAACTTATTTTTTTTTTAAGTTTTTACCGCTGTGGCAGATATTGTGCAAAGCACTTTACATATGTTATATTATTCAATCTTAGAAGGATTGCTTGATATATCGATACCAGTATTTTTTTTTTTTTTTTTTTTTTTTTTTTGAGGAGGAGTTTCGCTCTTGTTACCCAGGCTGGGGTGCAATGGCGCGATCTCCGCTCACCGCAACCTCCACCTCCTGGGTTCAGGCAATTCTCCTGCCTCAGCCTCCTGAGTAGCTGGGATTATAGGCACGCGCCACCATGCCCAGCTAATTTTTTGTATTTTTAGTAGAGACGGGTTTTCACTGTGTTGACCAGGATGGTCTCGATATCTTGACCTTGCGATCCACCCGCCTCGACCTCCCAAAGTGCTGGGATTACAGGCGTGAGCCACTGCGCCCGGCATATATATATATATATATATATATATATATATATATATATATATGTATGTATGTGTGTGTATATATATATATGTATGTATGTATGTATATATATATATATGTATGTATGTGTGTATATATATATATATATATATATATATTTTTTTTTTTTTTAATGGAGTTTCACTCACTCGTGTCGCCCAGGCTGGAGTGCAGTGGTGTAATCTTGGCTCACTGCAACCTCCGCCTCTTGGGTTCAAGCAATTCTCCTGCCTCATCCTCCGAAGTAGCTGGGATTACAGGCATATGCCATCACACCTGGTTGATTTTGTATTTTTTGTAGAGACGGGGTTTCTCCATGTTGGTAAGACTGGTCCGGAAATCCCGACCTCAGGTGATCCGCCCGCCTTGGCCTCCCAAAGTGCTGGAATTACAGGTGTGAGCCACTGTGCCTGGCCCGGATACTAGTATCCCTATTTTGCTGGAGAGGAAGCTGAGGTTTAGAAAGGAAACTTACCTAAGGACAGGAACGGTGGCTTCAGGATTTGAACCTAAACGTCCCATTCTCTTAATCACACTAATCTATAGCTCCTTCCAAATGGGAGTGATGAGCCTTTTGTGACCTATGTGTCTACCAAAACTGAGCAAGTCTAGAAAGCTGCTGTTCATTCCTTAGCATAGTGCTGTCCAACAGAAATACAGTATGAGTCACATGTGAAATTTTAAATTTTCTAGTGCCTGCATTAAAAAGGAAAAAAGAAACATAAAATTAAATTTTAACTCTGTATTTAACCTGATAAAGATAAAGTATTATTGCAACATTTGATCAGTATAAAAGGATATTTTACTCTTTTTTACGCTAAGTTTGAAATCTAGTGTGTATTACATTTACAGACATCTCAATTCTCACCAGCCACATTACAGGTACTTAGTAGCCATTGTGCTAATGTCTACAGCATTGGATAGCACAGCCCGGCAATGCGAGATGTAGAAATTACAATGCACTCTTGGTTTTACATTCTTTTATTTTCTTCCTCTTTTCACAAAAATATTTGAAGGCCGGGCGTGGTGGCTCACGAGATCAAGAGATCGAGACCATCCTGGTCAACATGGTCAAACCCCGTCTCTACTAAAAATACAAAAATTAGCTGGGCATGGTGGCGCACGCCTGTAGTCCCAGCTACTTGGGAGGCTTAGGCAGGAGAATTGCTTGAACCCAGGAGGCAGAGGTTGCGGTGAGCCGAGATCGTGCCATTGCACTCCAGCCTGGGTAACGAGCGAAACTCTGTCTCAAAAAAAAAAAAAAAAATTTTATAGTTGACTCCTTTGCAAATATATATTAGGTCTAAGTTTTCATTTGGAACCAGGCACAGTGGCATGCATCTGTAGCCTCAGCTACTTGGGAGGCTGAGGCAGGATTCATTTGAGCCTAGGAGTTTGACACGGCAGTGAGCTGTGATTATATTAGAGACAGAGTGAGACCCTGTCTCTAAAACAAAATTTATTTTAGTAATAACCATTTTTTAAAATAAATTTTAATTTGGAAGTAAGAGTTATTTACATCCTCCCAATGTGCAGTTCAAGTTCCATTGCTCATTGGAAACTGCTTGTTTTTAGGACTAAGTTTGTTGAAACCAGGTTTTCTTATACTTAATCAGTTCATAATTGGTGGCATACATCTGGGCAACTCATGAAATCTCACCTTTTAAGTTGTCCTCAGGAATAGATGGTTTTATGTTTTTTTATTTTTATTTATTTATTTATTTTGAGACAGTTTTACTCTTGTTACCCAGGCTGGGTGCAAGGGTGCAATCTCAGCTCAGTGCAAACTCCTCCTCTCAGATTCAAGCAATTCCCCTACCTCAGCCTCCCGAGTAGCTGGGATTACAGGCATACACCACCAGGCCCAGCTAATTTTGTATTTTTAGTAGAGATGGGCGTTCACCATGTTGGCCAGGCTGGTCTCAAACTCCTGACCTCAAGTGATCTACCCACCTTGGCCTCTCACAGTGCTGGGATTACAGGCAGTGAGCTACCATGCCTGGCTCCATGTTTCACTTAATTACTGCCTTAATTGGTCTACAAGGAAGGTGTTGCCATCTTGGAAGGGAAGATGGCTGGAAGGTGCTATGCAATGATTGGAGAAAGTGTGAGGGTGTTGGAACTTCATTGTAACATGTCCTGCAGGCCAACTTGTTTCTTTTATTCGGAGGAACCAATCTTAGCAGTTATCAGCTCTTTTTGAAGCAACAGATTAAGTTTCTTTCTGAAATTTTGTTGGCATAGGGTAAGAGCTTAGTAAATTGCTGTGGCTTTCCTGGGTGCCCTTAGACTCACAATAAAATTTTCTCTTTCAGAATTTGGTGTTCACTTGGCAGAGCTGACTGTAGATCCCCAGGGGGCACTGGCAATCCGTCAGGTAAGTCCATACTGGCCCAATTTATAAGTAAATTCCCTTTCCTTGGTAATGAAACTTCCTTATGGGAAAGAGAAAGAATAAGGCCAATTTATAAATAACCTAGGATGTTGCGCCGGATTTAGATATACTTCAGATGTATCGGGCCATGTGTATAGTTTTTAATGTGTGAAAAAATTCTTTTTCTTGCTGTACTACTTGGCTTATTCTCTTCACAGCTGGCATCAGTCATCTTGAAACAATATGTGGAGACTCACTGGTGTGCCCAGTCAGAGAAATTTAGGCCTCCTGAAACTACAGAAAGGGTAAGTCAGTTACTAATGATTAGTCTACCTGAGGAAATATGAGGGTCCACTTTAAGAGATAAGACTATCAACATTCTTTGACAGCATGGAGCAATCAAAAGACTAGGCAGAAAAGGAGATTGGTGGCTGGCATTGTGGGCATAGTGCTGTAGATTAGAGAGCTCAAGTGTCAGGCTGTGTTCAGATTCCAGTTTTGCTTTTCACAAGTTATTAGATCATTGGAAATGTAGTTAATGCCTAAGCCTTAATTTCCTAAATCTCTAAAATGAGAATAAAACTACCAACTAAGGGTTTAAGAATTAAATGAAATAATGTTTGTACTTAGTGCAGTACTGTGGAATCATCTGAGTTCCTAAGAAATTTTGAGGTATAAGATCTGGAGCAAGTTTTCCTCTGGAACGTTCTGCAATTATGGAAATATTCTATATCTGTGCTGTCTAAAACAATAGCTACTAGCTGCATACGGCTGTTGAGCACTTAAAATGGGGCTAGTGCAACTGAGGAACTGAATTTTAAATTTATAAAAATTTTAATGGCTATGTGTAGCTAGTGGCTACTGTAATGGATGCTATAAGTTTAGAGATCACAGATGAACTCTCCAAATGAATTGTCAAGTTTCTATATAGGAGTTTGCTGTAGATACGCAGTACCTTGTACGCATTATTTTTTCAACACAGTTCCCAACTGGACTGGGCTCTACCGGTCACATATAACCTGATCTAATAGCAGGTGGACTTTTATCCCTTACAGGCAAAAATTGTTATCCGGGAGCTATTGCCTAATGGGTTGAGAGAATCGATAAGCAAAGTGCGCTCCAGTGTGGCCTATGCAGTGTCAGCTATTGCCCACTGGGACTGGCCTGAAGCTTGGCCCCAACTCTTCAACCTGCTCATGGAGATGTTGGTGAGCGGAGACTTAAATGCCGTCCATGGAGCCATGCGTGTTCTGACAGGTACCGGAAGCCCTTTTCCCTGGTATTGGTACTTGGATCTCAAGCAACAGGAGTATTGTAAGAAGCTATGTGATAGAATGGGCCAGACCAGTAGGAACTGCTGCTTATGTTATTCCTCCTAGTTTTTATCTCTGTATCTACCCTGCAGTGCCATTGTATTTTTCTAGAGAATGAAGTTTGTATAGTATTACATCTACTACCAAACCTTACCACTTAACAGATACAGTAATAGCATAGTGATTGAGTATTCAGATTTTGGATTCTTCACTTGATCCTTCACTCACCTTCTTTAAGCCTGAGTTTCCTTGTATATAAAATTAAGATGATAGTAGTGTCTGCATAAAAAAGCTTTTGGTATAGTTTAAATAGCTAATCTGTTTTTATTGACATGTTCAGTAAAGTTTAGTTACTTTGATGATTATTATATATTATTTTTCCACTTAGTTCAACCAAGGCAAAGTTAAGAATTGTAAAATGGATTTTTATAGAAATATTAAAAAGAAGATAAAAACAGTATAGCCACATAATCCTGACCTTCATTTAGCCAGTTAGAGAATATGCAGTCTCAGTATCTTTTCTTTTTCTCTGTTCTGAGAAGTTGATAAAAATACTTGAACTTTAGGCCCGGTGCAGTGGTTCACACCTGTAATCCCAACACTTTGGGAGGCTGAGGCGCGCAGATCATGAGGTCAGTAGTTCGAGACCAGGCTGGCTAATATGGTGAAACCCTGTCTCTACTAAAAATACAAATATCAGCCGGGCGTGGTGGCGTGCGCCTTGTAGTCCCAGCTACTCGGAGGGCTGAGGCGGAAGAATCACTTGAACCAGGGAGGCAGAGGTTGCAGTGAACCAAGATTGTGCCACTGCACTCCAGCCTAGGCTGCAGAGCAAGACTCCATCTCAAAAGAAATAAAAGAAAGAAAGAAAAAAGAAAGGAAAGAAAGAAAAAGAAAACTTCAGCTTTTAGTTCAAAGAGATTTGATGAATATCTCTTCTAAACCTGATTAATCTATCAATCCCACCCAGAGTCTACTTTCATATATCCTTAGAGATGGCCTGAGTTTCCCAGTCCTTTCCTCCCTGCTTTCTATTCCCTAGATGAAGTCACTACTCTGTTTTGCCTTCAAGAAATTCTTTCCTGGACTTTAGTCATCCTGTACTGATCTTTTAGAAATCATCTTTGTCCTTCATTCACACAGGTTTGTGAAAGTCCTACCAATATCTTAACTCTTTCTTTATGACCTGCTAGTTTACCTGAAATGTATTCTTACCTGGTTCTGCATGCCAGTTCTGTTCTCTCTGAATCTCAGTTTACCGAACTTAGCACATAGGCCCAGTTTTGCTAGTCTATGTGATACTAATGGTAGATAATATCAACTCTTTGCCAAATGCAAGTCTTTTTTCTCTTTTTTTTTTTTTTTTTTTTTTTTTGAGTTGGAGTTTCTTGTTACCCAGGCTGGAGTGCGATGGCGCGATCTCGGCTCACCGCAACCTCCGCCTCCTGGGTTCAGGCGATTCTCCTGCCTCAGCCTCCTGAGTAGCTGGGATTACAGGCACGCGCCACCATGCCCAGCTAATTTTTTGTATTTTTAGTAGAGACGGGGTTTCACCATGTTGACCAGGATGGTCTCGATCTCTTGACCTCGTGATCCACCCGCCTCGGCCTCCCAAAGTGCTGGGATTACAGGCTTGAGCCACCGCGCCCGGCCTTTTTTCTCTTTTTGTTTCAAAACCACCTCTTCCCATGCCCGAGCTGCCTTTTTGAATTACCCACTGTATTCGTATTGATTGCCTGTGACAAAGCTTCAGTTTTTAGCCCGGATACAGAACAGACTTACCAAAAAGATCAAAATGTTCCTTGCTCAGATTTTTACTTCCCTACTTATTGCCCTTGCTTCTCCTTTATAACTCATGCATTATTCAGGTGATTTCACACACCCCTCTCCATGGAATTGGCCTTTTAGAATTCTTTATTCACAACTCATAGTGCCAGGATATCAATTTACAGATAGATGTTCTACCAAGGAAAGGAAGCCTGTTCCCTCTCAGACTTCCAACATGAAATTCAGCTGCTTTTGGCAAACCTGGATAGTAAGGGTATTTGTACATTTATCTTGATTTGGATGCTGAAGAGCCCTTATTGTGTTTGACTGAGGAAACTACTGTTTGGTGAGATCACTTTTCTGCCAGCCACAGGGAAAGAACTGTTGGGGAAATTTGTCTCCTTTTGTAATGGAGTCACCAGACATGGAATGGCTGGCAGCCAAGTGCTATTCCCGAATAATTGCTCCACATACTTTCAAACAAGGGCAGACAACGCTCTGACAACAAAAACTTAGGCATGCATGAGGATAGCAAGACATTGGTGATGGACAGAGGCCCATTAGGAGAATGGTACTGATTCTCTTCAGAGTCTTTCAAGATACTGTACCAGTTTCCCTCTAAATTGGCTTCCTTTTAAACTTACCTCCTTATAGATGAGAACTGACTAAGGCTTATGGTGTGAAGGAAATGCAGACATACCAGCTAAGAATTGATCCACAGATACAGCTTTTTTTTCAGTCTCAAAGAAGTTTGGAGATTGAGGTGTTGCTGGAGTCCCAGAATTTTTCTGACTTGCTGAATCACTTCAGAAAACTTTTAGAATTAAAACTATAAAGTATTAATAAATTGGTACCAGGGATGAGTATAGGAGAGTAAAAACCAGGTAAGCACTTTATTAGTAGAATTAAATTGGCTGGGCGTGGTGGCTCACACCTGTAATCCCAGCACTTTGGGAGGCCGAGGCAGGTGGATCACCTGAGGTTGGGAGTTCAAGACCAGCCTGACCAACGTGGTGAAACCCTGTCTCTACCAAAAATAAAAAAATTAACTGGGCATGGTTGCAGGTGCCTGAAATCCCTACTCAGGAGGCTGAGGCAGGAGAATCGCTTGAACCCTGGAGGCAGAGGTTGCAGTGAGCCAAGATTGCACCACTGCACTCCAGCATGGGCGACAAGAGCGAAACTCCATCTCAAAAAAAAAAAAAAAAAGAAATTATACTGTATTTTTCATGTAGTATAAGCTTGTTATCATATAGTATAAGCTTGTTTTTCATGTAGTATAAGCTTGTTATCATTATTCCATCTATCATGTTTATTTCGACTAATTTCCTTGGACTTCTAAATAAAATAGAACACTCACTATTCAAAGCTTAGACTTTATTCTTGAGGAGGAAATTACAGCTAGTAAAGAAAATTCATCCTTGAGTATTTGATCTTCATTTGACTCATGGGGATTCATATTGCCCAAAACTATTGAGTACATTAATCCTGAAAATGCCAACTTGTGTTTCTAGCTGGATATCTTCCCCCAAAATGTCCCAAGTGGTTAGCTTTATTTATTTATTTATTTGTTTGTTTGTTTATTTATTTATTTGAGATGTGGTCTCATTCTGCCAACTTGCGTTTCTAGCTGTGTATCTTCCCCCAAAATGTCCCAGGTGGTTAGCTAGTTATTTATTTATTTATTATTAGAGACATGGTCTCACTCTGTCACCCAGGCTTGGGTACAGTGGCACTATTGTAGCTTACTATAACCTTGACCTCCTGGGCTCAAGAGAGCCTCCTGCCTCAGCATCCTAAGTAGCTGGGACTACAGGCACATGACACCACATGCAGCTTTTTTTTTTCCCCCCTTTCAAATGTAGTGGCATATCTTGCTATGTTCAGGCTGGTCTTGAAGTCTTGGCCTCAATTGATCCTCCTGCCTCAGCCTCCCAAAGCTCTGGGATTGCAGGCGTGAGCCACTGTACCCAGCTTCTATTTCCTTTTTTTTTTTTTTTTTGAGACGGAGTTTCGCTCTTGTTACCCAGGCTGGAGTGCAATGGCGCGATCTCGGCTCACCGCAACCTCCGCCTCCTGGGTTCAGGCAATTCTCCTGCCTCAGCCTCCTGAGTAACTGGGATTACAGGCACGCACCACCATGCCCAGCTAATTTTTTGTATTTTTAGTGGAGACGGGGTTTCACCATGTTGACCAGGATGGTCTCGATCTATTGACCTCATGATCCACCCGCCTCGGCCTCCCAAAGTGCTGGGATTACAGGCTTGAGCCACCGCACCCGGCCTCTATTTCCATTTTTATAGTGGTAATGTAGGAAAGCATCAGGTAAAGTGAATAGTTATTAGAACTCAAGGGCTTTTATCCTGCTGCTTTGTAACATGAATCCAGGGTCCTTTGTGCCGTCTCAGTGCCTTGTGTGTGGTGTGGCGTTTTTTTTTTTAAGAAGTAAAAGGAAAGATACAACCCATGTTTCCGTCACCTTCTTCAAGTCTCATTCTGTGTGTAGGTTGCTTTTTGCCACATTTATGTAGAGAATCCGTTTTTGTTCCAGTTAGCAACAGCCTCTGACTTTTAAGTCAGTAAATATTATCTACCGAGAAGAGTAACATATACAAAGTGGAACTGAGGCCTAGTAAGTCTGTACATGTTTTATTACGTGCATCAGACCAGCTTGCCAAGCAAAAGTACTGAAAACAGAACCAAAGGTAAGAAACCTCGAAGTGTAACTGAATGTCGACAGATGGGCACAAGATAAATTAATACAGAATTTTCCCAAGTTTACCTCACAAGGACTTTTATGCAGTTCTATTACAGATTTTCTTTCAGTATTTATATTAAGTGTTCTTTTTTAATCTCTTGTATATTTCTCTACTTCCATATTATTCTTTCTCCTTCTAACAAATAATCAGCAACTCTCGCTAATTTTGCTTTCACAGAATGAGACCACCAGGCCACTGTCTTTACCTGTGTCCTGTCTGTTTAGGAACTGCCACCTAGAAGCAGTTCAGAAATATCACACTTAATATCTTTATGAAGCAGTGTTTTTTTTTTAACAGTGCTACTTTTTGCTTTGTAGAATTCACTCGAGAAGTGACGGACACACAGATGCCACTTGTTGCTCCTGTCATTCTCCCAGAAATGTATAAGATCTTCACCATGGCTGAGGTATGAAATCTCAGCTCCAAGATTACAGTGAATTCAGGCTCTCATCAGCCCCCACCTCTCAGTTGGGAGATTATAGTGTTTGTAACTGATGTCAATATCTAAAGACTAGAACTGACAAAGATCTGAAAGATCTTTGTCTGAATCTGAATTAACCTTAGACCTTTCACTCAACTACAAGGGCAAGCCTTTGATAAAAGAGTGCAATAGCCAGGCACGGTGGCTCACACCTATAATCACTGCACTTTGGGAGACTGACGGGCAGATCACCTGAGGTCGGGAGTTCAAGACCAACCAGTCTGACCAACATGGAAAAGCCCCATCTCTATTAAAAATACAAAAATTAGCCGGGCGTGGTGGTGCATACCTGTAATACCAGCTACTTGGGAGGCGGAGGCAGGAGAATTGCTTGACCTTGGGTGGCAGAGGTTGCAGTGAGCCAAGATCATGCCATTGCACTCTAGCCTGGGCAGCAAAAGCGAAACTCCATATCCAAAAAAAAAAAGTGAAATAGCTTAAATATTTCTTCATATATCATACTTACTGGCACCCAGGAGCCCCTAAGTAAATAAATAGTGCCTTCGTGCTACTTCCAGCCTCTTATTGAGTTATCCCACCTAAGCTTGCCTACCTCAGCTAAGTAATTGGAAGCAATCTATCACTGCATTGCACATAATAGGCCCTTAATATACTGTATATATATTTGATTAGTGTGTATATGAATAACTTACTTATAATTAGGTATAAATACCTGATAAATAATCTTTTAACTTCCCTATACCCCTCAGCCCCCAACCAATGATCTGCATTTTAAAGGAAATATATTGACTGTGTTAGGATTTTAAGCACTACCCAGCCTGGTGGTTTTTAATTAAATGAACCCACAGAGGCCCATATATAAGGTTCATTCTGGTAAGTTCCAACATTATGATTCCGCTATGTTTCATTCTCTGAATTACAGAAGTCTGCCTCCTGGACATGAATGACATTTACTATCTCTCAAGGCTATCTAATGTCATGTGAGGATTCATTAGTCATAGCTTTACTTCTAGTCAAAGATACACACATACCTACATGCTCTAATCTCATGGCTATTCTGTAACCTTTTTTCCAGGTCTATGGTATTCGAACCCGTTCCCGAGCTGTGGAGATTTTTACCACTTGTGCCCATATGATCTGTAACATGGAGGAGCTGGAAAAGGTTAGCAGGTCTTTGGATCAATAACAGACTTCATGCTTAAAAGTCTTATTCATGCAAAGCAGTGAGTCATTTCATGATAGCAGCACCAAAAAGCACACTAACCAGTATTAAGAGATAGACACATTTTTATTAAATCATGATTATTTTTCCAGACAGGGTCTTGCTCTGTCACCCAGGCTAGAGTACAGTGGTGCAATCATGGCTCACTGCAGCCTCGAACTCCTGGGCTTAAGTGATCCCCCCACCTCCGCAACCCCCACCTCCAGTAGGAACTACACATGTGATGTGCACAACCACACTTGGCTGATCCTCTTTTCTCTCTCTTTCTTTCTTTTTTTTTTTTTTAATAGAGATGAGGTTGCACTATATTGCCCAGGCTGCTTTTGAACTTCTGGGCTCAAGTAATCTTCCCACCTCAGGTTCCCAAAGTGCTGGGATTATAAGCATGAACCACAGCACCCAGCTATATTTTTATTTTTTATTTATTTGAGTTTTGTTTTGTTTTCTTTTTTTTTTTTTTTTTTTTTTTTAATGAGACAGAGTTTTGCTCTGTTGCCAGGCTGGAGTGCAGTTGCACAATCTCGGCTCACTGCAACCTCCACGTCCTGGGTTCAAGCAATTCTTCTGCCTCAGCCTCCTAAGTGGCTGGGACTACAGGTGCGTGGCACCATACCCAGCTAATTTTTGTGTGTTTAGTAGAGACAGGGTTTCACCATGTTGGCCAGGATGGTCTCTATCTCTTGACCTCATGATCCGCCTGCCTCAGCCTCTTAAATTGCTGGGATTACAGGCGTGAGCCATGGCGCCTGGCCTAATGAATTTATTTTTGTAGAGACACGGTCTCTTCCTATGTTGCCCAGGCTCATCTTGAACTCCTAGGCTCAAGTGACCTTCCCACCTTGGCCTCCCAAAGTGCTAGGATTATGGGTGTGAGCCACCACACCTGGCATGATTGAATTTTCAGTTTGTAAAAAGCTTAATCTAGACACACACACACACCCACCCACCCCACACCTGGCCTGATTGAATTTTCAATTTGTAAAAAGCTTAATCTAGACACACACACACACACACACACACACACACACACCCCACACCTGGCCTGATTGAATTTTCAATTTGTAAAAAGCTTAATCTAGAGACACACACACACACCCCACACACCTGGCCTGATTGAATTTTCATTTTGTAAAAAGCTTAATCTAGACACACACACACACACACACACACACACACACACACACACACACACGCTTTATGACAGACTCTCAGTAAAAATTTGCAAGATACACTGTCTAAAGTTGTCTTCCATATATGGAGTTAATGACAAAAATAGAAGAGAAAAAATGGCCAGGAGGTGAGATGCAGACAGGGAATAAGAATTTAACAGAAGCAGAAAATGAAGAGTAGGAAACCAAAGAAAAATATGCTGTGAACAGTTGAACCCTACCCCCACCACAGAGATACTAGGATTCCCAACCAGATGTGGATTTGGCCTAGAGTGTATTTTGTTTTGTTTGTTGTATTAAAGGAATGATAAATTCTAAATGCCGGACATCTTTGGGTGACATGGTGATAAGTTGTATGGCAATTTTTTAGTGAATTATCATCACAGGTCATGCAACTCCTTGTAGTAGAAATGTAATCCAAATACTAATCTCTCAATTGCCAGCCCAGTTTACCGTCCCTCATCATTAAAACAGAACTAGAGAGGATGACAAGGTCTAGAGCTGAGAACAACAGTGGGCCTTTCCTTGGATCCAAGGTAGCACAATGATTCAAAATCAAATGTGCAGCTGGCCAGGAGACAAATTCAGGTGACTCACAGACGCTCTTTGACTCAATCTTGTGTAATAGAATTTCAAGACAGGGATAACATTATTAAACCTTCCAGCAATTCCCAGCCAGTATTTTCAATTAAAAATCACTGGGTTCTGGCCTTAAATAAGGCTATTGAATAACTTATGCTAATAAATGGATCTCCCTCACACTTAGAAATTACCTTAAAAAAAAAAAGCTTACTCTCCTTTTGAGTCTTACTTCTTCAAACACCTTATCTTACATCCTTTTCACAGTAGTCATCACTCAGAACTTTCCTACTCTTTTATGGCCCCTTTTGTGTGAAGCAAAGCAATCCCTGTGATTCAGAAACAGTTATGAGGAGAGTTGGTCTTGCATAACAGTTTGTAGGAGGACCGTGATGAGGAACTAGCAGTGCTGGTTAATGAAATTTTGGGTAACACCTTCACTGACCTTATAGCTATTCTCTTCTGATCGATCTCGGAGCCTGAAGAGAGCTTCAGGTGCCTTTCAAATATCAGTGTTTGATACATATGTGTTGAAGCATTGACCGGATTAGGGACTTGTCCAACATTGACTTTGGTTTCTGTTATCAGGGTGCAGCCAAAGTCCTCATCTTTCCCGTGGTACAGCAGTTCACAGAGGCCTTTGTTCAGGCCCTCCAGATACCAGATGGCCCAACATCTGACAGTGGGTTTAAGATGGAGGTCCTAAAGGTAAACACTTCCTACAAATGAAATATTTGGAGTTTGAGAGGGTAGTCTAAAATCATTGGTTTCTTATATATCACTCATAACTTGGGTCTTTTCTCTTAATTTCTTAGGCAGTGACAGCCCTAGTGAAAAACTTCCCAAAGCACATGGTGTCCTCCATGCAGCAGATTCTGCCTATTGTTTGGAACACCCTAACTGAGAGTGCAGCTTTATATCCTTTCGTGAAAGCTTAAGGGAGCTACTACCACCTATAGTTAGGAATCTAGCATTGGGTCTCTCATTCATGTGGTTCCACTCTTCTTTTTTTTTTTGAGACGGAGTTTCGCTCTTGTTACCCAGGCTGGAGTGCAATGGCGCGATCTCGGCTCACCGCAACCTCCTCCTCCTGGGTTCAGGCAATTCTCCTGCCTCAGCCTCCTGAGTACCTGGGATTACAGGCACGTGCCACCATGCCCAGCTAATTTTTTGTATTTTTAGTAGAGACGGGGTTTCACCATGTTGACCAGGATGGTCTCGATCTCTCGACCTCGTGATCCACCCGCCTCGGCCTCCCAAAGTGCTGGGATTACAAGCTTGAGCCACCGCGCCCGGCCTTCCACTCTTCTTAAACAGGCTTTTTTATGGTGTCTACTTTTAGTGTTGGAATATGTAACATTTCCATGTAGATTATATGTAAAGCAGACTTCAAATTCTATTTCTTTACTCTTCATCATACTTATGTGAGGACAGAAGTAAATTACACAGAAGAAGTAGAAGATCCTGTGGATTCTGATGGTATGTAGTTTATTTGATCTTTATAGAAATACCACTTAGTGGAAAAAGAAAAAGAAGTCAGAGACAGGAGGTTAAAAAAAAAACAGTAAACTTGAGAGGCTTCATTCTGTTAAGTGTTTTCTAATTGAGTTTATTTTCAATATATTAGATGTGAGGAAATAAGAATTGACAATCTTCAGTCTGTTCCTCATAGGTATTTGCATAAATCTCATAAAATCGTAGAATTTCTGAGTCAGAAGAGATGCTTTTAAGGCCATTTAATCTAGCCTGTTTCTGGCATTTTGTCATGTTTCATTTTGGTGTCCAGATGATGAGTCTTTTATTTCTTTCTTTTCTTTTTTTTTTTTTTTTGAGACAGTTTCGCCCTCGTTACCCAGGCTGAAGTGCAATGGCACGATCTCGGCTCACCGCAGCCTCCGCCTCCTGGGTTCAAGCAATTCTCCTGCCTCAGCCTCCCGAGTAGCGGGGACTACAGGCGCGCACCACCATGCCCAGCTAATTTTTGTATTTTTGGTAGAGACGGGGTTTCACCATGTTGACCAGGATGGTCTCGATCTCTTGACCTCGTGATCCACCCGCTTCGGACTCCCAAAATGCTGGGATTATAGGCGTGAGCCACCGCGCCCAGCCAAGTCTTTTATTTCTATTTTAATATTTTGAAGTATTTCAGATTAGAAAAATAGACATACTGGGAAATATATTCAGTGTTCTGATTATTGAAAAAAAAACAAAGAATATTTAATGTCCTCAAAATTCCATTTTGTGACTTCTAAGCCCTCTCTCCCAATTCCTCAGGATTAGTTATTAGCAAGTACTTTAAATATTCAATAATTTACAAAGAAAATATAGTTCATTTTCAGCATGTATGCTTTCTTTTTACTTTCTCGCCATTAATTTCTTCTTTTCTATGTTTCCTGTAGGTGAAGTCCTGGGCTTTGAAAATCTTGTCTTTAGCATTTTTGAATTTGTTCATGCTCTACTAGAAAATAGCAAATTCAAAAGCACTGTTAAGAAAGCCTTGCCTGAATTGATTTATTATATTATCCTGTACATGCAAATCACTGAGGAACAGGTAAATAATATTTGAGAGACAGTTCCCATCATGTGTTTGGAAAGTGCAACTTGAAGAATGTGAAGTCTTGGTCAAATGAACACTTTATTTCTAAAAATAGACACAAGACAAATAATTTCATGTGAAGTTCTAGGAAAGCTGTGACATTTTATTGCCAAATGCAAGGTATTGGAGTTTGCCATCACACCTAGCTGATTTTTTAATTTTTTTGTAGAAAAATAGGTGGGTTTTTTTGTAGAATAAATAATAATTTTTTTGTAGAAAAAAAGTACTATGTTGCCCAGGCTATGCTAGTCTCTAACTCCTGGGCTCAAGTAATCTGCCCACCTTGACCTCTCAAAGTGCTGGGATTACAGGCACGAGTCACTGTGCCTGGCCTATTTTTGCCATTAGAAAATCTCACAGGACTACTAACCTAAAACCCTGATTTTTAGGAGATATATTCCTTCCTTATAGTAAAATGTAGAGATCAACCATTAGCCTGATGGTGGGTCATTAAAACCAGCAAAGAATGTTCAAAATTAGATAATGCCTTGTTTAAAACAGCACAAAAATTGACCTAATTTTCACAGTAAATATTCCATCAGACTTAATATGTTCAGAAAATCGATCTATCAAAGGGTAACAGCTGGTTGACGGTGGCAGAGAGCTGGTAATTGGCCAGATTCCAAAAGAGAGCAGTAGCTGTTGCTGCCTACCTTGCTACTTGATACTATTTGTTTGTCTACATCAAAAATAAAAGATTTTTGAAGCTAGAGTTTTTTGGTGTGTTTTTGGTTTTGTTTTGAGACAGGGTCTTACTGTGTTGCTCAGTCTGGAGTGCAGTGGTGCAGACACAGCTCACTGCAGCCTTGACCTCCTAAGCTCAAGCCATCCGCATGCCTCAGCCTCCTGAGTAGCTGGGACCACAGGCATATGCCACCATGTCCAATTGACTTTTTTATTTTATTTTATTTTATTTTATTTTATTTCTCTCTGTCTCTCTCTCTCTCTCTCTCTCTCTCTCTCTCTCTTTTATGCTGTTCCTTGTCTACTCACAGAAGACTTTTTTATTTTTTGTAGAGTTGAAGTCTCACTATGTTGCCCAGGCTGGTCTCAAACTCCTGGGCTCAAGCAGTCCTCCCACCTTGGCCTCCCAAAGTGTCAGGATTACAGTTGTGAGCCGTTGCACCCAGCTAAGGCTAGAGTTTTGTTCAGGATAATAGGTTGAAGTCTTCCTGTATCTGTTGATGAAAAGCTATGAATCAGATTGGTAGCATCACAAAGATATAACCTCATCTTTTCAGATTAAAGTATGGACGGCCAACCCCCAACAGTTTGTAGAAGATGAAGATGATGATACATTCTCCTATACTGTTAGAATAGCAGCTCAAGACTTGTTGCTGGTAAGTTTACCTTGATACTTCAGCCACATAATTTTAATCAGTCACTTGAGCATTTCCTCTTTTCTAGCAACTAATCCAAGGTGATCAATGTTGTTGAGTGGCTTTATCTCAGACCTCTTTGGGGATACAAGAGTTTCTGAAATGAAGTTTGAGACTCAGAAATTCTAAAATCATTGCTACTGGTTCTGACTTACTAGATGTAAGAATTCTGTAGACCATAGTGCTGGAATAGTGGGGAGAACTGTGTAAGAGGATAAAGTGTTCCATGGAGTAAGAGTAATTGAATTCAGAACATTTCCATTTAATTCATTCTTCAACAAGAATCTATAGCACAGATCAAAGGTTGGCAAACCTAACAAAACAAATGAGATTGCTGAAAGATGAACATCCAAGTATCTGCTCATGTTTTCTTTTTTGTTGTTGTTGTTGTTTTTTGTTTTTGTTTTTTTTTTGAGACGGAGTTTCGCACTTGTTGCCTAGCCTGGAGTACAATGGTGCAATCTCAGCTCACCTCAACCTCTGCCTCCCGGGTTCAAGCGATTCTCCTGCCTCATCCTCCTGAGTAGCTGGGATTACAGGCATGAGCCACTATGCCTGGCTAATTGTGTATTTTTAGTAGAGATGGGGTTTCTCCATCTTGGTCAGGCTGGTCTCAAACTCCCGACCTCAGGTGATCCACCTGCCTCGGCCTCCCAAAGTGCTGGGATTACAGGCATGAGCCACTGAGCCTGGCCTGCTTGTGTTTTCTTTGGCTCTTTTAGCTAGAACATAGCATTGTCTCTATGCTGAAATACTGCGAAGAAACTACCACTTGCTTCTTGTTAGGTAAAACATTTGTTCTCTGTTGATGAATCACTTCTCATTATCATTTAATGTAGTATTTCTAAGGACTTACAAAAAATTATATTCTGTTTCAATTAGTAGATTAGACTTATTTTTCTATGATCAGGTTCCAAAAGAGCAAATATTTGGCCCATTGTCATCTAAAGCTAGATCTCTTATTGCTCACTTATACTCTGCTGAATATAGCAAAGGAGCCAACTGGTTAGCCTTACAATGCCCAGGCACTACAGAAATACAGATATTACTTTTATTTCATTAGAGACCCTGACCTACTGGTATAACATTTTTAATACAGTTAATCAGGGATTTGCATGTATGTGAAACAGCTTGAACCAATCACTTCTAACAGTCATGATTAAAGCAGTTTGCAATTAAAATGCATTTAATGGGCGCAAACAGATTTATTAGCTCTTCTTTCTCCATAGGCTGTGGCCACAGATTTCCAGAATGAAAGTGCAGCAGCCCTGGCTGCTGCAGCCACTCGACATTTACAAGAAGCTGAGCAAACCAAAAACAGTGGCACTGAGCACTGGTAAGAGTGAGCAGCTAACTGGTTAAGCTTTTGCTTAACCCTTCTTAAAAAGCTGTGAAGGGCCAGGCGCGGTTGCTCACGCCTGTAATCCCAGCACTTTGGGAGGCTGAGGCGGGTAGATCACAAGGTCAAGAGATCGAGACCATTCTGGTCAACATGGTGAAACCCCATCTCTACTAAAAATACAAAAAATTAGCCGAGCATGGTGGCGCGTGCCTGTAATCCCAGCTACTCAGGAGGCTGAGACAGGAGAATTGCCTGAACCCAGGAGGCGGAGGTTACGGTGAGCCAAGATTACGCTATTGCACTCCAGCCTGGGTAACAAGAGCGAAACTCTGTCTCAAAAAAAAAAAAGCTATGAAATGATGGATTTAGTTTGGTTTTAATTTGCAAATCTGGTTTTAATTTAATAACAGATTTAATAATCTCTTATTACTAAAATTTCACTCTGTTTTTGCTATTAGAATATAAGGGCTTAAAGTAAATAACCCTTTTGGGAGAGATTGTGCTGGAGTGCCCTTTTCTGAATCTTCTTTCCTCAAATATTTATCTTTTTTGGCAGCGTAGTTTGTTTTACTAGGCTGTAGTATCCTTTCACAGGTGGAAGATCCATGAGGCATGCATGCTTGCCCTAGGCTCAGTGAAGGCCATCATCACTGACAGTGTGAAAAACGGCAGGATTCATTTTGACATGCATGGGTTCCTGACCAATGTCATCCTTGCAGACCTCAACCTCTCAGGTATGTTTCAGCACATGCCAGGATTCTAGAAGCTCTTTAGACCTGTCGTTAACTTGGTTATATTGTTCACTTCGACTGGTAGGCCAGATATGCTTGTGTCCTTTGAGTGAAAATTTTTTATATCCTGCAACTTGAACTCATCCAAACCTCTAAAACAGCCCAGAGGCCTAGGCTCAAGCTTCACCTAATAACAAATTAATACTGCCTAGTTCATAATTCTTTCATGATGTTTATGTTTCTTCCCAAATTGGCATTCCCATTCACGGTTGTTTTTGGCATTTGAATGGAATGCAAATCTGGTTGCTGTACCTTGAGAATTACCAGGTTCCGCTCTCATTGTTAATTCCAGAATGCCCTCAGTCATTCTGTGTCAGGCATATTCTTCCTGTTTTTTTCTGTCATTTTTCTCAAACTTTATTTTTGGTCAATATCCAAATAATCAAAATGTTTCATTCTCCTACTCGTGTTAGCTTTCTGTCTTAAAAAGAAAAAAAGTAGGCTGGGCACAGTGGCTCATGCCTCTAATCCCAGCACTTTGAGAGGCTGAGGCAGGTGGATCACCTTAGGTCAGGAGTTCAGGACCAGCCTGGCCAACTTGGTGGAACTCCATCTCTACTAAAAATACAAAAATTAGCCAGGTGTGGTGGCAGGCGCCTATATTCCCAGCTACTCAAGAGGCTGAGGCAGGAGAATCACTTGAACCCAGGAGGCAGAAGTTGCAGTGAACCGAGATCACGCCACTACAGCCTGGGCGACAGAGCAAGACTCAGTTAAAACAAACAAAAAAGTAGCTCTTTACTATTAGACTGATTTCTTCAGCAATACAAAGCAGTAGCTAAGAATCATTGTCATCTATTGGCATTTTCTGCTACTTGCTTCTGCCTGTACCATGCCTTTTCTCATCCTTAAAGTCAAATCCGCATCCCAAAGCACTCTCTGCGTCCTCTCTCAGTACCTAAATCATGGAACATTTGGTATTGTTTGCTCCATTTTCAATCCATTCGCTTTCTCTCCATAGTATAGCTCTGGGAGTAGCTTATGTCATTTGAAAACGTTCTGCTCTGTGATTTTAAATAGGTAATCTATTGTTGGGTATGTCACTCTGTCACTTCCATTCTCTGAATCACAAAATTAAAATGGTTCCATATCCAGAGATCAGATCCGTTTGGAATATCCTCTTTCACTCTGTACTTATCATATGCTACATTGTTGAACATGTTTTCTTACTCCCACTAGTAAGGTCTCAGAGTTGAAATCATGTCTAATCTTTGTATTCTACAGGTACGTTTTTTTTAGCCCCTCCGCATAAGTGCCTTGAGTAGGCATTCCGTAGTTACTTGTTGAATGAGTTCTGAAATCCATCAGCACATTTCTTGTAGAGTTCATTTACCCTAGCAAAGAATTTCCAAAAACTTTGAAAATTTTAGAGTATTTGTTATTTAGACTGGAAAAAGGCTTAATATATATCATTTGTTAATACTGCCTGAAGCTAAAACCTTTTCTACACCAATGATTCTGAAACTTTTTTGTTTCAAATTATCAACAATTTAAGAGACATTTTTATGTGGCTTTAATTTATCAATATTTAACATACTAAAGATTAAAACTGAAACTTTTAAAATAAAAGAAATAGAAACGTGCATTCCACTGGCTGTCAGAGCCAGGATGTCACATATCATATAACCTCTGGAAAACTCCACTATATACCTGTGAAAGAATGAAAGTGAGGCCGGGTGTGGTGGCTCACACCTGTAATCCCAGCACTTTGGGAGGCCAAGGTGGGCAGATCACAAGGTCAGGAGTTTGAGACCAGCCTGGCTAACACAGTGAAACCCCTTCTCTACTGAAAATACAAAAATTAGCCAGGCATGGTGGCACATGCCTGTAATCCCAACTACTCAAGAGGCTGAGGCAGGATAATTGCTTGAACTCAGGAGGCAGAGGTTGCAGTGAGCCAAAATTGTGCCACTGCACCCCAGCCTGGGCAACAGGGTGAGACTCAGTCTCAAAAAAAAAAAAAAAAAGAATTAAAGTGAAAAAAAAATTATGTATTGCTATGAAAATAGTTTTAACCTTTAGGGAGTTGCCGGACCATCCTTTGGGAATTACTTCTGTACATTATATAAAGTTATAAACAATTTCTGACTTACAGTGGTTGGACTTAGGATTTTTCAATTTTACTGTGATCCCAAAGCAATATGCATTTAGTAGAAACTATACTTCAAGTACACTTAATTCTATTTTCACTTTCAGTACATTATTCAGTAAATTATATGAGACATTCAAGTCTTTATTATAAAATAGGTTTTGTGTTAGATGAGTTTGCCCAACTTTATGCTAATGTAAGTTTTCTGGGCGTGTTTTAGGTAGGTTTGACTAAGCTATGATGTTCAGTATTAAATTTAAATGCATTTTTAACTTACAGTGTTTTCAACTTATGATGGGTTTATCAGGAGGTATCCCCATCATAAGCAGAGGAGCATCTGTATTGCATAATTATTTGGCACAGTTTATTAGGTTCTGTTCAATGATTTCTTTGTCAACAAGGTGTTTATTGTGTGAGTAACCAAGTTAAGCCCTGTGGTACCTGAATAAGAATCGTCTCTCAGCAGCTTATAGTAGACAAGGGTAGTAATCCTTATATTAGTCGTTAGACTCAAACAAAATCTATAGCATGTAAGAACACTAAAGAATTACCATGGCACAGAGATAGTTAGAGTTGCTTCAGCCCAAGAGATGAGTTAAGTAATGCAAGAAGGTGAATGTGTTGGCTTGCAATATGAACAAGGCAGAGAACTGGGAAAGTAAGAAGTAAGTTGCTAAGTGGGTATGTGTACTTGCGTTTGGAAACCATAAAGTGAAATCATAGGTAATGCTAAAGTCACTGATCTTAGGAAGCCTTGAATAACATGATGACTAAGGTAATCTTTATGTGGTGGACTATGGAGTTCGTTGATAGATTTTTAAATAGAAGAATAACATGATCAGAGCTGTACTTTATGTTTTAAGAGTAGTCCAAAAGTAGGAATAAAGTAGCAATGGAGATGGCATTTAGAAGATTAACTAGTAGTGTAGGTAAGGAATAATGAGAGCTAGGGATGAGGACTGGGGTGGCAAAGTCTTTTTAGGCTAATAATATTCAAGACCTACTTTGCCCAGTAAAAGCAAATGAAAACTGGGAAGTTCATTCTCTACCACAGGTCACACATTTGCTTTCATCGTACAAGATTACGCTTTTCCTTGTATGATGTACAAGTAAGCTGTACATAATATGTAGCATCCATTTACTTCTAAAAAAATTGAGGAACGGAGGGCCGGGCGCAGTCGCTCACTCCTGTAATCCCAACACTTCGGGAGGCCAAGGCAGGCAGAAGTTTGAGACCAGCCTGGCCAACGCGGTGAAATCCCACCTCTACTAAAAATACAAAAATTAGCCAGGAGTTGTGGTGGGTGCCTGTAATCCCAGCTACTTGGGAGGCTGAGGCAGGAGAAACACTTGAACCCGGGGGGATGGAGGTTACAGTGAGCCGAGATCACACCATTGCACTTCAGTCTGGGTGACAGTGAGACTCCATCTCAAAAAAAAAATCGAGGAATGAATGTGGGAAAGAAAAAGGACAAGTAGTAGGAATTTTTGTTATCCAGCCCCTAATTGCTCTGTTTTTCTCCCAGTGTCTCCTTTCCTCTTGGGCCGGGCACTTTGGGCTGCCAGTCGGTTCACTGTTGCTATGTCTCCTGAACTAATCCAGCAGTTTCTACAGGCAACGGTCAGTGGTCTTCACGAGACACAGCCCCCATCAGTTCGAATTTCCGCAGTGAGAGCCATCTGGGGGTGAGTATGCTACCCTAGGGTGATAGTTATCTTAAGAGAAAATCGCTTAGGGTACATATACCAAATCGTAGTTTTCTAGTGTATTATGTTGCTTGGAAATCCCTGCCAATGATCTCCTTCAGGATGAATGTTGGAAGGACAAGGAAAGAATCCATGCGAGGGACATGGCTTTTATGAGTCCCTAAGATGTTTTATTCTTTTCTGCTCCTCTTCCTCTTTAAATTCACTCCAATTCTGGAATCATCTAGGCAACTCCCTTTCTGTCAGTGGTGAAGAACCAACACTTGGAGAGAAAAATGTTTTGCATAGGATGGCACAACTGATAAATGATAGAAGTAGGATTAGAGTCCACATCATTATGTTGTTGATTATATTCATATTAGAAACCGAATCTGGGATAATGTAGCCTAGAAATCTATCTGCTTATTTTTTCCCAATTTTACCTATTTTTCTTGCAGCCAGTGTTGCTAATGGATCAAAAGTCATTTATTTATAGTCCTACACTGACTAGAAGGACCATTGTTGTTTTAATGAATATTTTAAGGTTCAAACTTAAGCATCCCAGCTGAATCCTTAAACTACCAACACAAAATTTATTTTCCACATGCCTGCCCTGCCTTACCTTTTGAGGCAGAGGAGTACCTTTTGGGATGCCGTGTATTATATGCATTAGGAAGCATTCAAGAACTGCCCACATTTTAATTTAGTGCTTAATATTATGACCATAAACAGAGTCCCATCTTTTTCTGCTTCAATCTAGGTGAAGCAGATCTTTGGTCTAAAATAATTAAAAGTATAATTTTAACAGACAAACTAAGTATAGCTTTTCAGAAAGCTCTAAGACCATTGTAAATGTCTGAGAAGAGAGAGCCCTAACCTGCTTTAGACATGAATGTTATTTTAAGGGTTTTTCTGAGTGTGTACCTGTGGTCACTGCCTATATAGCTTCTGACCTTTGTGAAACTTGATTTCATTTATATGCATTAATTATTTCTGGAGATGTTTAAAAAAAATAGTGAATGTCTCCTGTGACAAGTGTCAGTGTAAAATTAAAAGTATTTGCCCACCAAATAAGGACAAAACCATGAAAACCTATGCTTATCTTACTTGACTAAACTGAAAAACAGATTATGAATGTATGATGAAGAATTAACCACTTTGTGTTGTGATTTTATGGCAATGTTTGCTGCTGCAAGCTGTGAGAGTTTGGTATGAATGTGAAAGTACTTTGGGTAAAATAAGCCCATTGCTTCCCAGAGTGTTTTAGGTGGACAGCAGTACACTAGGCATACTTTGTACTCTAATCTCCCCCAGAGAGAATCAGTTCTGCAGAATCAGTTCTCTCTGGCGGAGATTAGAGTACAAAGAACTTTCATTCTCTGTTGTATATTTAAAATATTTTTGTTTGTTTGTTTGTTTCAACAAGTTTACATTTTATAATCAGGAGAAATCTGAAGAAAATTTTTATTTTTAATGTTCAAATCTCAGACCACATGGGCAGTGGTTTAGTGGTTTTCTTGAGAGATGTAACAGATCTCTCTGAAGGATGAAAAAAGCTATGGATATGCAGGCCAGAGAATGGACACTCACGTGTTCACAAAATTTTATATTCATTGTCGAACACTGGGTTCCTTGAAGCCTATCTGTGAATCCCTGTTTAAGAACTGTCCTATGACTGGATCATTAGCTGTCTTTTCTTCAGTCAAGAGTTTCCATCTGGTCATTCTCTATTTAGTTCAGCAGCCGATTACAGATTGGCTTATGTCCTTGTCACATTATTGGAACTGGTTTTTTTTTTCCTTTTTTTTTTTTTTTTTTTTGAGACAGAGTGTTGCTCTTGTTGCCCAGGCTGGAGTGCAGTAGTGTGATCTCAGCTCACCACAGCCTCCTGGGTTCAAGTGATTCTTCTGCCTCAGCCTCCCAAATAGCTGGGATTACAGGCATGCGCCACCACGCCTAGCTAATTTTGTATTTTTAGTAGAGGCAGGGTTTCTCCATATTGGGCAGGCTGGTCTTGAACTCCCGACCTCAGGTGATCTGCCCACCTTGGCCTCCCAAAGTGCTGGGATTACAAGCGTGAGCCACTGTGCCCGGCCTGGAACTGTTTTTTCTGATGTCACTAGTAACTTCTTTTTTTTTTTTTTTTTTTTTTTGAGACGGAGTTTCGCTCTTGTTACCCAGGCTGGAGTGCAATGGCGCGGTCTCGGCTCACCGCAACCTCCGCCTCCTGGGCTCAGGCAATTCTCCTGCCTCAGCCTCCTAAGTAGCTGGGATTACAGGCATGTGCCACCACGCCCATCTAGTTTTTGTATTTTTAGTAGAGACGGGCTTTTACCATGTTGACCAGGATGGTCTCGATCTCTCGACCTCGTGATCCACCCGCCTCGGCCTCCCAAAGTGCTGGGATTACAGGCTTGAGCCACCACGCCCGGCTACTAGTAACTTCTTTTTTTTTTTTTTTTTTTTTTTTTGAGACGGAGTTTCGCTCTTGTTACCCAGGCTGGAGTGCAATGGCACGATCTCGGCTCACCGCAGCCTCCGCCTCCTGGGTTCAGGCAATTCTCCTGCCTCAGCCTCCTGAGTAGCTGGGATTACAGGCACGCACCACCATGCCCAGCTAATTTTTTGTATTTTTAGTAGAGACGGGGTTTCACCATGTTGACCAGGATGGTCTCGATCTCTTGACCTCGTGATCCACCCGCCTCAGCCTCCCAAAGTGCTGGGATTACAGGCTTGAGCCACCGCGCCCGGCAATAACTTCTTAATGGTCAGCATTCCACCTTTGCTTTTGTTTTTTCCTTAGCCCCAGTTTTAATTTGTTCCTTCATGTCATAGTTTATGTATCATTCCAAACTGCCTGAAATAATCTCTGAAACAAGATACTAATTGACAATTATACTTGTGTCACATTTTTCAATTCAAATTTATGTCAGATTTTCTCCTGAGCTACACACTAATATATCCATTGCCTACTATCTATACCAGAATGGATAGCTTATAAGTACCTGAAAATCAACATATTTACTACTGAGCTTACCATTTACCACCTTCAGGCCTGTCCTACGTGTATTTTCTTTCTTAGTAAAGGTAGAAATCTGTAACATTAGGTCTTCAACTTAAAGATCTTGTATTCCCTGTTTTAATGAAGGTAGATATTCCAGGTATTTGCCTTTTAGATCTTGGTTCCTTGGCCTCTCATCTCTTCCTTCTTGAGTCTTCCACTGCTACTACCCTGATTGTACTCTCTACTTCTCTTGCCTGAATTAATGCGGCAGCTTCCTGATTGATCTATCTGCAGCCTCACACTTCTGCAGTCCATATTATTTGAACTGTCAAGCTGATCGTTCTAAAATAGAAAACTGACTTTGTTGCTCCTGCAGTTAAAGTTATTCATGGTTCCTAGTTGTTCTCTTCAAACTGAGATAGAGGTACTTCAGAAGAAAGTCATATTATGTCAGGGGGTACAGGAAGCCACAGGATAAATACATAACATTTTCCTGGGGCATCAGTTTCCCCTGGAGACTTTAGGGTAGAGTAAAGGGAAGATTAGGTGTTAGGAGTTTAACACCTAAGTTAAAGAAACACTTACTTCCAAAATAAATTCCAAACTTGTAGCATGGCATACAAGACCCAGTGTGATGTAGATGGGTGATGCAAACTCTGTGATCTACCAGACTGTACAGTTTCAAGTTCATTAGAGGGGCAAAGTAACTATAAACCCTTAGAAGTAGGAAGTGGAGGAAGGGAGAGGAAAGATGAATGCTGGTCGAGGGATGAATCCAAAACCTAGTCTAAGGAGTTGAGAGCTGACCAAAGCCAGGTTTCACATCAGCTCTTTAGGAGAAGTTTGGTCAGAGCAGGTAATATTGGAATCAAACATTATGGACCAAAAATCAAAAAGTCTATGGACAGATCTGAGCTTAAAGCCCACAGTTTCACTGGTCATTGTGGACCTTTGAAAGCTGACACAAATAATATGGTTATAAGACGTTTTTGTTTGTTTGTTTGTTTGTTTGTTTGAGACGGAGTTTCGCTCTTGCTACCCAGGCTGGAGTGCAATGGCGCGATCTCGGCTCACCGCAACCTCTGCCTCCTGAGTTCAGGCAATTCTCCTGCCTCAGCCTCCAGAGTAGCTGGGATTACAGGCACGCGCCACCATGCCCAGCTAATTTTTTGTATTTTTAGTAGAGACGGGGTTTCACCATGTTGACCAGCATAGTCTCGATCTCTTGACCTCGTGATCCACCTGCCTCAGCCTCCCAAAGTGCTGGGATTACAGGCTTGAGCCACCACGCCTGGCCAAGACATTTTAAACAAAACATTTAAGTTAAGAAAAACCATTTATTGGCTGGTCACGGTGGCTCAGGCCTGTAATCCCAGCACTTTGGGAGGCCAAGGTGGGCAGATCACCTGAGGTCAGTAGTTGAAGACCAGGCTGGCCAACATGGTGAAACTCTGTCTCTACTAAAAATATAAAAATTAGCTGGGCCTGGTGACAGTTGCCTATAATCCCAGCTACTGAAGAGGCTGAGGCAAGAGAATCGCTTGAGCTCAGGAGGTGGAGGTTGCAGTGAGCCAAGATTGCGCCACTGTACTCCAGCCTTGGGAACAGAGCGAGACTCTTATCTCAAAAAATAAATAAAAACCATTTATTGAATACCTGCTAAGTGCCTTGTTTCTGTACTAGGTTCTTAGTTTTTATTGCCTTTTAACTTATTGCCATTCTCAAGATAAACAAAAGTAAAGATTTAGACAATTTTTTTTTTTGGCTGTTGTTTTGTTTCATATTTTTTGTTGTTGTTTTTGAGGCAGTCTCACTGTGGCACCCAGGCTGGAGTACAGTGGCCATGATCTCAGCTTATTGCAACTTCAGCCTCCCAGGTTCGTGATTCTCATGCCTCAGCCTCCCGAGTAGCTGGGATTACAGGTGTGCACCACCCTGCCTAGCTAATTTTTTTGCCTTTTTAGTGGAGACGGTGTTTTGCTGTGTTGGCCAGGCTGGTCTTGAACTCCTGACCTCAGGTGATCCACCCAGCTTGGCCTCCCAAAGTGCTGGTATCACAGGCCTGAGCCACTGAGCCTGGCCCTAGACTATATATATATATATATATTTTTTTTTTTTTTTCTTTTTTTGAGACGGAGTTTCGCTCTTGTTACCCAGGCTGGAGTGCAATGGCGCGATCTCGGCCCACCGCAGCCTCCGCCTCCTGGGTTCAGGCAAGTCTCCTGCCTCAGCCTCCTGAGTAGCTGGGATTACAGGCACCTGCCACCATGCTCAGCTAATTTTTTGTGTTTTTAGTAGAGACGGGGTTTCACCATGTTGACTAGGATGGTCTCGATCTCTTGACCTCGTGATCCACCCAGCTTGGCCTCCAAAGTGCTGGGATTACAGGCTTGAGCCACCGCGCCCAGCCTGACAATATATTTTTAACAATTTTATCCTATTGGACATGGTAAGCAACATTCAGTAAGTATTTGTTGATTGAAAAGAGGCTAGTACAGTAAAACTATAGCCGGAACTTGAAACCCTGCAGCTAATAGACTGATTTTGAAAGTGTGCATAGAATGTTGACATAAATTTTGTTTGTTTCAGGATGAAAAAAAAAAAAAAGAAAAACAGAAAATCTTTAAGAAAATACCAAAATTCAAAGCAGAAATAAAATAGAGAACATAGAACTGGTAGTGGTGATGTTTATTTAATACATCACAGAAGGATGTAGAAACTTGCCTAACTTAGAAGTAGCTTTATAAAGCTGTACAGATAAATGCTATAATATGTGAGATTGATTGGAAAAACCAGGAATTGAATTTTTAAAAATAATTCTTGCTTATCTATCTCTGTCTAGTTATTGTGACCAACTGAAAGTCTCAGAGAGTACCCACGTGCTCCAGCCCTTCCTCCCCAGCATCCTTGATGGCTTAATTCACCTAGCAGCCCAGTTCAGCTCAGAGGTCCTCAACCTGGTGATGGAGACTCTGTGCATCGTTTGTACGGTAGACCCTGAATTCACAGCAAGCATGGAAAGCAAAATCTGCCCCTTCACCATTGCCATTTTCCTGAAGTACAGTAATGGTATGCCACCAGGGAGGGTGTGTTATGAGGGGCACCAAAGAAAAAATGTTGGCTGGTGAATTTAAATGAAAGATTCCCTGGGTCTGGTCTTAGCTATGATGCTATGGTTTTAACATCATAAGCAAAGAATCTGGCTTTTGATTAGCAAAAAATAGAATTGTGCTGTAAATGTAGCAACATTAAAAAATAGAGTATATCTGTAACACTCTCTACTAAGGGCTTAGGGAAAAAGATAATAAATAAAGGGCTAGTAAGCAAGAGACATAATTCAGAACCTTGATGCACATTGCATATATTTTTGCAGACTAAATAGAGGAGGATATTTTGTTATATAAATAAAGAACATTGAGCTAGTGTTCCCTTTCTTCATAAGGCTGTGCTTTTTAGGAGTTTTGCCTTTTGCCCCAGAAGTAGCTTTGGGAGTTCTTCATGTCTACTATGGCTACCCTGTAGGAGATATGTATGATTTCTCTCATTCATCAAAGTCAGTATTTTGGCAGTTTTTATAACTTTCATGTCTTCTTAAAGTATCAGTTGGGCTTTTTTTTTTTTTTTTTTTTTTTTTTTTAGTGTTTGGTTTTATAATCCAGGTTTCACAAGAATAGACCGTAAAGATTTTCTGTAGAAAAAGCCACATTTTGTTTAGCTGTTAATGACTAGTCCCTACTTTAATGAAGCCAAACAAACTGTACCTCTTGGAGATTTAGTGTATCTCCTGTTCTTTGAGGTTATTCATGTGGCCCCACTAGGTCCTGGATATGTGATATGTAATCAATGCAAAAGTTGTTAGGTTAGGGCCAAACAACAGGCTTCATTAAGTGAGAAGCAGGTGCAGACCATCGGGCGGGGGGATTCCGTGTTGCCTTATCCACTTCAGATCCCGTCGTCGCCTCACTGGCTCAGGACATCTTCAAGGAGCTGTCCCAGATTGAAGCCTGTCAGGGTCCAATGCAAATGAGGCTGATTCCCACTCTGGTCAGCATAATGCAGGCCCCCGCAGACAAGATCCCTGCAGGGCTCTGTGCGGTAAGTGGCTACAAGGGGTTGGGGGAAGGTGTGGAGGTGTGTGTGTGATTACAAAGGAGCCTGATTCCCACTCTGGTAAGCATAACGCAGGCCTCAGCATATAAGATCTCTGCAGGGCTCTGTGCAGTAAGTGGCTACAAGCGTGTGTGTGTGTGTGTGTGTGTGTGTGTGTGAGAGAGAGAGAGAGAGAGAGATCTACAAGTGTCACCCACAGATGCGTCTAGCTGACAAGAACCTAATAGTATTAGAGATTCATGGAGTGATTTTGCTGAGCTATTTTGCCCACAAAGACAGTGGGTAATTCTCTGAAACTTTAAGAAAATGGCTCTTGTTTCAGAGGTACCCTCAATAAATTGAACAGAGTGCCACTGTTACACAGCACCACTAAGTATGTTACCTGGTTATCCAATCTACTACCATGTACTAATGCCCACCCCTAGAGCTGATCAATTAGTAAGCTATTATGAGGAGGCTGAGAGCACTACCTATTTAATTATTCCTTTATTTTTGGAAACTTGTCTTTCATTAATAAGCTTTCTCTGGGTTGCTGTGTGATACCATCCAGTAAGGATCTTGGTTGTTGGGCACCCTCAATTCCAGAGGCAATTCTGACTCTTCTTTTTCTTCTCTCTTTCAGACAGCCATTGATATCCTGACTACAGTAGTACGAAATACAAAGCCTCCCCTTTCACAACTTCTCATCTGCCAAGCTTTCCCTGCTGTGGCACAGTGTACCCTTCACACAGATGACAATGCCACCATGCAGGTATCTGAGACATGGAGCCTAGAAGAGGGAAGATAGCTTCCAGCCATGGGCTTATAATGTGCTGAGAAATCTGACATGGTTTTATGCTTTTGACATGTGGAATTCCTCTCAACTCCATATTTACCTAGCGGATTCAGGAAGGGTTCAGGCTGCAAAAGCCAAGCATTTCTGGTGCTTTGGAGCATGTTACAATCTTAAAAAAATGCGGATACCAACCACCCTGCCTGTATATTGGGTATTGCTACTGTGAAAGAGATTATAGACATCTAGACTTGGGCCATAAGAAAGTCTTTCTGCCTATTCTATTAATAAAGTCAGCAGAGTGATTGATGGGCCTCTAGCGAGAGGAGAGATGCCTGAATATTTTTTCTCTTTTTGTTTCTTGGATGAACTGGTTACCTTTTCAGGTAACCAGTTGATTATAAAAGTTATAGAAACTTGCCAGTGACTATTGATCAGCTTGGAAATCCCTAGGCAACTATAGTGGTTTGTGTAAGACCTATATAAAGACCTATAGTATCCCCAATTATTGCCAGATTGTAAATGTATTTTTTTAGTACGAGAGGTAGATCTTTTTGATTAAAATTCATTTGGCTTGGCCATTGTCCCTTTTGATAAAAAAGATACACATTTTTGAGATAGTCCCTTGTGATAAAAAAAAAACAAAAAAAACCATTTTTGAGATAGCTGATTAGGTAAAGGGGGGATTGTGTAATGCATATCTATGTCTGTAACGGTAAATTCCTGACTGCAGTGGTATGAGCCCACTACAAACCCTGTACACTCACTGCTTTTATGAGGAAGAGGCCTCTGAGAACATTCGTTTATACAGACTGAGGGTCCTCCTGGCATCTGTCCTCGATTGCTGATTTTGTTTGCCACCCCTGTCTCCCCAGAATGGTGGAGAGTGCTTGCGGGCCTATGTGTCAGTGACCCTGGAACAAGTTGCCCAGTGGCATGATGAGCAGGGCCACAATGGACTGTGGTATGTGATGCAAGTGGTGAGCCAGCTCCTGGACCCCCGCACCTCAGAGTTCACTGCGGCCTTTGTGGGCCGCCTTGTCTCCACCCTCATCTCCAAGGCAGGGCGGGAGCTGGGGGAGAATCTAGACCAGATTCTTCGCGCCATCCTCAGCAAGATGCAGCAGGCAGAGACTCTCAGTGTCATGCAGGTAAGACAACAGTGGGGACTGGCTTCCTACCCCCTGGCTGATAGAGATGAAAATTAGTATTTTGATCCTGAGTTTTTACCCTATTACTATCCTTCCAGGGCAGTTAAGTAAAATGGGATCTGTCAGGCCTAAGAAACATGGACAAGGAAACCTCCATGTTTTATTGTCCTGTGGATAATACCCTCAGTGTAGACTCTGTTTCTTATCTGACTGGCCAGTTCCTTCTCATCTCCTATGTCTCTGAAATTAATTTCCCTGAAGCAAATGTCCTTATTTTCCCCTAGTCTTTGATCATGGTGTTCGCTCATCTGGTGCACACTCAGCTAGAACCTCTCTTGGAGTTCCTGTGTAGCCTCCCAGGACCTACTGGCAAACCTGCCCTAGAGTTTGTGATGGCTGAGTGGACGAGCAGACAGCACCTGTTCTATGGACAGTATGAAGGCAAAGTCAGGTAGAACCCCCATCTTTCTTTCTTTTTTGGGCATTCTGCCACCACTCATACTTCTTTTTTTTAAGATGGAGTCTTGCTCTGTCACCCAGGCTGGAATGTGGTGGCATGATCTTGTCTCACTGCAACCTCCACTTCCCAGGTTCAAGCCATTGTCCTGCCTCAGTGTCCCGAGTAGCTGGAATTAGAGGCATGCACTACCACACCCAACTAATTCTGTTTTGTATTTTTAGTGGAGGCGAAGTTTCACCATGTTAGCCAGGCTGGTCTTGAACTCCTGACCTCAAGTGATCTGCTCGCTGCCTCAGCCTCCCAAAGTGCTGAGAGAGTACAGATGTTAGCCACTGTTCTGACCCATATTTCTTTTTTTCCCTGATTTGCTCCATTGATTTTTGTTTGACATGTCTAATGGCCCTCTGTATTCCATTTTCCCTGTCTTTCTTTATTGCTAACCCACATATGTGAATAGCTGCCATCTTGAATTTTCCAAAAGACAGTCAACACAGGAAGACTATATATTTCTGATCTCTGCTTACTAGAGATCCCTTCTCTGCCACAGACTTCACACATCTAAGTGCTGCTAGTGGCTTATTTTCCTTTATAAACCCAAGCCTTGGCCAGGCACAGTGGGTCACGCCTATCATCCCAGCACTTTAGGAGGCTGAGGCAAGTGAAATCACTGGAGCTCAGGAGTTCGAAACCAGTCTGGCCAACTTGGTGAAACCTGTCTCTACTAAAAATGCAAAAATTAGCTGGATGTGGTTGTGGGTGCCTGTAATCCCAGCTACTCGGGAGGCTAAGGCAGGAGAATCTCTTGAACCCAGGAGGCAGATCACACCATTGCACTCCAGCCTGAGCAACAAGAGCAAAACTGTCTCAAAAATTAATTAATTAATTAAAAACCCTGAGCCTTCTAACCCTGGCTTCCTAACTTTCTATCCTGGACTTTTATACCACTAATTCTTACCACTTCATTGCACCTTACAATATGGATAGCCATCCTGATGCTTGCCCACCCTAGTTTTGTTCAAGAACAGGTCACCTGTAATCCTAGCACTTTGGAAGGCTGAGGTAGGTGAACTGCTTGAGACCCACCTGGGCAATGTGGTGAAACCTATCTCTACCAAAAAAATACAAATATTAGCCAGGCATGGTTGTGCTTGCCTGTAGTCCCAGCTACTCAGGAGGCTGAGGTGGGAGGATCACCTGAACCCAGGGAGGTCGAGGCTGCAGTGAACCATAATCACGCCACAGCACTCAGCCTGGGTGGCAGAATGAGACCCTGTCTCAAAAAAAAAAAAAAAAGATCTCATTAGACCATCTCATGAATGCCAAAATCTCATTTTCACCTGAACTCAAATAGAGGGTCTTAGGACAGAATTGCTTATCTCCTTGGAACGATCTCTAGATGGGTGGCTGATTGACCTTTTTTTGGCTCTTCCTTGCCAGCTCTGTGGCACTCTGTAAGCTGCTCCAGCATGGCATCAATGCAGATGACAAACGGCTACAGGATATCCGTGTGAAGGGAGAGGAGATCTACAGCATGGATGAGGGCATCCGCACCCGCTCTAAGTCAGCCAAAAGTGGGTGATGCTGTGATTCCTCTAATCCTCTCCCTATAGGAAGGGGCTAAGGATGCCTGGGTGAAGGGCAGGAATGCACCATGGTGTATATTTTTAAAACATAATTGTTGGTGATGGGTTTGATAAAGAAGAGGCAGAAAACTTAGGTAAAAGTGATCAGAACATACAGTTCCTTCCTGTTGTCAAAAATAGGCCAGGCGTGGTGGCTCATGCCTGTAATCCCAGCATTTCGGGAGGCCGAGGCAGATGGATCACTTGAAGTCAGGAGTTCAAGATCAGCCTGACCAACATGTTGAAACCCCATCTCTATTAAAAGTATAAAAATTAGCTGGGCGTGGTGGTGGGCGCCTGTAATCCCAGCTACTTGGGAGGCTGAGGCAGGAGAATCGCTTGAACCTGGGAGGCGGAGGTTTCAGGGAGCCAAGACCGCACCACTGTACTCCAGCCTGGACAACAAAACGAGACTCCGTCTCAAAACAAAACAAAATAGTCTCAGGTTACCAAGCATCCCAGCTTCCAGCTTCATTCTGAGGTTTGGGCACAGATAGTCAGCATGTCTTTGTTACTGAGTTGCCTTTGGCCTGTAACTCCAATGATTTGCAGGTAGGGAGTATAGAGCTGCTGTCTTTAATGTACGTTTATAATTAACTCTGCCGTCTCTCAAATTGTAAGCCATTGGGACTGGAGTACTGGCTCTGTACAGTTCCTTAGTTTCAGAGCTTTATTACTAACAAGAATCTACCTCCTTTAATCCCTGAACTCTCATCTCTCCCAACTTCTGAACTGTTATGTACCAAACAGAATAAAGTTAATTAACTTTAAATCACTCTTTGGAGGCTGAATATAGTCAGGGACAGTGAAAGCCTGAGGGGTGGTAAACTCTGGTGAGTGGCACTGAGGAGGGGACAGGGATACTGCCAGAAGTAAGCCCAGTGACACTCTTGACATGACGCCTTTTTCTTCCTTCCCAGACCCAGAACGCTGGACAAACATTCCTTTGCTGGTCAAGATCCTAAAGCTGATCATCAACGAGCTCTCCAACGTCATGGAGGCTAATGCCGCTCGCCAGGCCACTCCTGCAGAGTGGAGTCAAGGTGCACCAGGCCCTTACTCCCAGGAAACTTTTAACCTGGCAGATCAAGTTACAGATTATCAAATTATCAACTTGTTTGTTGAGTCACTGATTGGAAAAAAAAAAAAGTAATTGATGGAATGGCTGTTCTGTGGCTGGCACCATGCTAGGCACTAGGCATGTTAAAGAGCTGCTTCTCCGGTCTGCCCTATGAAATCTCACAGAGGCTGATGTGGGAGTCAGCCAGGAGGCAAGCTAGCTAACAGCCCTTCTTTGGTTTGGTTCTTAAGAGTCTCTCAGCCTTTTATCTCTCCAGGTTCTTTCATTCAAACTTACCAGGAGGGTTTGGCCATTTCTGGTTCTCTCTCACTGGGGACTACAAGCCACATTACAGAAGCCTTTGAGGCCCTTCTGTTCCAGCCTGTTTGGATTTGGGGAGGGGAAATGTGTGAATGTGCTCTAGCTGCTTTTCATCTCCAAGTAGATGACTCCAATGATATGTGGGAGGACCAGGAGGAGGAAGAGGAGGAGGAGGAAGATGGTTTAGCTGGCCAACTTTTATCTGACATTCTTGCTACAAGTAAATATGGTAAGCAATTTGATAAGAGGACAGCCATGGTAAATACCTTTTCTTTGCACACTGGTGCCAAGAATGGGGTACCCAAGAAAGGGGAGAGGTGGGCCCACAGGGACATTCCTTGGGCTTTTGTACCTTCTGTCTCAGTCATGTGGTAGTATATCACCACTCAGGGCCTGATTATGGGCCTTTGTCCTGACCTGCCATGTGTTGGCTATGTCTAACAGAGGAGGATTACTACGAGGATGATGAGGAAGATGACCCTGATGCCCTGAAGGATCCTCTCTATCAGATTGATCTGCAGGTGAGGGTGTCCAGAGATGCCTTGCAAATGACAGTGTCCCAGGCCACGGAAACAGGAATATGGGCTCAGATCCCTTTATAACCAGGCATGATGGCTCATGCCTGTAATCCCAGCACTTTGGGAGGTCAAGGCAGGAGGATTGCTTAAGCCCAGAAGTTCAAGACCAGTCTGGGCAACACAGGAGACCCTGTCTCTACAAATAAGTTAAAAATCAGCTGGGCATAGTGACACATACCTGTGGTCCCAGCTACTCGGGAGGATCACTTGAGGCCAAGAGGTCAAGGCTGCAGTGAGCTGTAATCACACCACTGCAATCACTCCCGAGCCTGAGCAACAGAGCAAGATCCTGTGTTTAAAAAAAAAAAAAAAAAAAAAAAAAAAAAATCCATTTATAGTTTATCATGGGAGCCTCATGGGAAAGAGTCCTTGTCTTGGTGAGTAGTCAAGGGCTTTGGCGGCAGGGGTTGGAACTTTGCACTTGATGTATTGTCATTCAGCTTCTGGAGGCTATGTTTAGACGGTTTTGGGGTGATAAAGCCTTGGAAAAATGTTGTTTCCTTATGAACTGCCTAAACTAGATCCAAGAACATGAAAGACCATCCCTCAGGGAACTGGCATTTGTCTAAAAGTCAGCATTCCCTGTGCCATTTGGTTGTGGTTCTTGCTGCACTGCAAATGATGACCTTGCAACCTCTCACTAATGCTACTCTTTTTCTTTCCTTCAGGCATATCTGACAGATTTCCTCTGCCAGTTTGCTCAGCAGCCCTGCTACATGATGTTTTCAGGCCACCTTAATGACAACGAGAGGCGAGTTCTACAAACCATCGGCATCTAAAAAGGGGAGCCTTTCTACATTTGCTCCTTCTGGCCCAGCCACAAACCATTTTGCAGCCCTCAGTGGCCTTAAGATGCACTTTCTTCTCAACCTAAAGTGGCATCTTGACCTTTGGCCCTTGGCCTCAGCAGTGACACTGATGACAACTCAGACCAGGCTCACCAGTGCCGGTCACTTAGGAATGCTGGAACAAAGGACATTTTTCAAAGTTCCCCTGAAGACATCCCATCTCTGGAACCTTTTTTCTCCCCAACTCTGCCCCAACCTCTGTTTTTAGAGCCCTCTGCTGGCCAGTCCAGAAACATTATTGCCCAGAAGAATTACGTGTTCATGGATTATTTTGCCCCGCCTCAGGAACACAGGAAGTCACTACCATTTATATTCTAAAACAGACCTATCTACGTTCATAGGACTTCTGATGTGTTCAGATAGGAATCCTCAAGAAAGATCATTATGCTTTCTGCCCTGGACCACTGCTGCTCTGGGTTCTCGGGAAGAACAGGCAGGAGCAGCTTCATTCTAAGCCTTTACAGTGACCTCTGCCTTGCTTCCCTTCTACAACACTAAGGCTCCTCTGTCAGAGGAGGTCATCTTGTTTTTGCCTCATTGCATGACATAACCTTTCCCCTTAAGCTGTTCCTATATATACATGCACACACAAACTAAGCCAGACAGATGGCAATTTGATTTTCCTTTTTTAGAAAAAAAAAAAAAAAAAAAAAATGGGGAAAAGGGATTTTTTTTTAAAATTCACCTGACCCAACTATATTTAATATGCCTCTCCCACACATTACCACAGAGTCTGATATTCAAAAGTTATCCCCTCTCCCTCAGGAAGCCTCTAAAGTGGTTAAGTTTTAGCCCTCAAATTTGCAACATGTATTTTTCTAGGACAGTAAAGTAATCTTTACAAATGAATTTAGTTGCATGGTATACGGTGTCTCAACACCTCTTTTCTATTCCCTTTAGAAGGGAAGTAAGAGTAGTAGGGGAAAGGATTAGGTAGAGCCTATTTAAACATTCTAATGTGTCTTGGCAAACCTAGCCTAAAATGATTCTTAGAGAACTGGCATTGTTTAATCAAATATTTTTAAGGGAGATTCCTTAATTGGGAAGTTTAGTCTGTTTTGGGTTCAAATAGTAAATGAGGATTAGAAAATCATGGGGAGAGACTGGGTATGGTGGCTCATGCCTGTAATCCCAGCACTTTGGGAGGCTGAGGCAGGTGGATCACTTGAGGTCAGGAGTTCAAAGCTAGCCTGGCCAACATGGTGAAACCCCGTCTCTACTAAAAATGCAAAAATTAGCTGGGCATGGTGGTGCATGCCTGTAATCCCAGTTAATAGGAGGCTGAGGCAGGAGAATCGCTTGAACCTGGGAGGCAGAGATTGCAGTGAGCTGAGATCATGCCACTGTACTCCAAGGTGAGACTCCACAAAAAAAAAAAAAAAAAAAAAAAAAAAAATCATAGAAAGATGAAGCCTTTTTTTGATAATGCCCACATCTGCTGTCCCATTTTTAGTAGCCACAGAATATTTCTTTAGATTGGCATTCTCACGAAGAAACTGAATATAAAGTGAATCTGAATCTCTACTCTCGGGGAGAGCCCCACTGTGGGGCATTGACTGTTGGACTTAAGAAACCTAAGGATAGTGTAGGTAGTAATGCCTTCATGCCACTAGGTGTCCACAGTGTCCAACATCCATGACTGAGGTTGGAAGAAACAGTTAAAAGTTTTTACTATCTTTGAAAAGCCTGCAAGCATGTTCCAGTTGTCCCCTGCCAGCCAGATTCTGAGGTTAATCCTGCTCATACCCCTGCTTCTCCACATGGCATTGGGGGAGTTGCTGGGGAAACAGCAGGTCTGACCAAGTGGTGCCCAGAAAACCACTGTCTCAGCCTTGCTCATTCCGTAATTATCTCAAGGCAATGCCAGTCGGGTTTGGTGCTAAAGGCCTCTGATTTTGGCACAAAAGAATGGTCTCAGGCCGGCAGCATTGAACTGCTGAGCTTAGGAAGGCTTAAAACTCCCACGCAGACAGAATGATGTGGGTCCCTCTGGGTCTGCTAATTAAAAGACGTTCTATATCTAGTGCCAAAAGTGGTCCTAAGTCCCTTGGCAAGAGTCCTTTTTGCTCTTGTGCTGATTTGGGGGAGGACTGGGCATCCTGCCTCAGGAGAACTTGAGTCCTGAGGAAAGAGTACTAGTATCACTTAAAGGCCACCCCTGGCTAACAGATAGTCAGCTGTGGCTGAGAGCTGAAGGTCTTGGACCCCTTGGCATGCACGTACTTAATTGTGTTTCCAGAGCATTTTTATATATGTTATCCCATTTAACCTTTGTAACAGGATCACAGAGTGGATATTCCCATTCTGTTGGTGAGAAAAAGTTTGGAGAGATTATGTCCAGTGTCAGCAGGAAGGAAAAAGATGTGTTGGAGGCCAGTACATGTTGACAGAAAGTTGAACTCTAGACCATACTTTGTCTCCTGTCTTTGGCCAAAGGGAACTAGCTTCAGTCTGAAAAGGGCAGCGCTGAGTGGTTAGAAAGAACTAAAAAGTTCAAGGTAAGACAAATGAATTAAAAATAAAAAAGAGCACTTCGCTCTCTGAGACATTTTAGTCTCCTGACTCGTAAACAGCAGCTGGGTCATCAAGGGATTCCCACAAGTTTGTTGAGCCTCTATTGGAGTGAACTGAAAGGAAAATAGAAGAAACCCTAGAAGACTGAGAAGAAGTTCAGAGTTCAAGAAGGAAGCTGATAACACAAGTTACAGACGTGTAAGTGACGTTGATTTGGGAAGAAAACCTACAGCAAATGAACCAAAAGCAGCTAAATAAGAGGGATGAGAGTTTAACAGATGTTCATTGTGGACTTCAGAGAAAGTAATTCTGAACTGACCTTATAGTCTTCTTTAATTTTGTTAACTGGTAAAATAATCTGGACATAGTAAAGTCAAAGCATTAGGGAGATAGAGAAGTTGGTAACTGACCACCAACTAACTAAATTCACTGATTGTGGGTTGACCTGATATGTGCCCCCAGGACTCTCTTCTTGGCCCCTCTGATATTAGTAATTACTTTTTTTATGCCTTACCCATTCCACAAAAGAATTTGAAGCCATTGACACAAGAGATAGAGAGTACTAGTAAATTAGGAATGTTGATCAAATTTTTAGATAACAAGAAACCCCTAGGAAGGATGACAATTTGTAGTCCAAATTTAGGATCCAAACAAATACCATTAGAGCCTATAAAAATGAGCAGAATCTAAATGTAACATTTCAATAAATGCAGATTGATAATATCTGTGGAAAGACTTGAGGACTGTAGAATACTGTGCTCTCACAGTATTAACGTGCCAGTAATAGTTTTTTAGCTGGGTGCGGTGGCTCAGGCCTGTAATCTCAGCACTTTGGGAGGCTGAGGCAGGCAGATCACCTGAAGTCAGGAGTTCAAGACCATCCTGGCCAACATGGTGAAACCCTGCCTCTACTAAAAATACAAAAATTAGCTGGGTATGGTGGTACACGCCTGTAATCCCAGCTACTCGGGAGGCTGAGGTAGGAGAATTGCTTAAACCTCAGAGGCAGAGGTTGCAGTGAGCCGTTATCATGCCACTGTACTCCAGCCTGGTGACAGACTCCGTCTCCCAAAAAAAAAAAAGTTATGCCAGGACGGCCAGGTATGGTGATTCACCCTGAAATGCCAGCACTTTGGGAGGCTGAGGCTGGCTCCCAAAGTGGAGCTCAAGAGTTTGAGACCAGCCTGGGCAACATGACCAGACCTTGCCCCTTAAAATTTAAAATTAAAAAAAAAAAAGTTTATTATGCCAGGAACCATTTTATATATATATATATATAAAACGTATATATAGAGAGAGAGAGTCTCACTTTGTTACCAGGCTGGAGTGCAGTGGCGTGATCTTGGCTCACTGCAACCTCCGCCTCCTGGTTTCAAGCGATTCTTCTGCCTCAGCTTCCCAAGTATCTGGGACTACAGGTGTGTGCCACCATGCCCCGCTAATACTTGTTATGTTTAGTAGAGACGGGGTTTCACCATGTTGGCCAGGACAGTCTTGATCTCTGGACCTTGTGATCCACCTGCCTTGGCCTCCCAAAGTGCTGGGATTACAGGCGTGAGCCACCACACCTGGCCCAAGAGCTATTAATGTGTCCAGAAAACTCCGGTGTGGTCCTAGGATGAGATGATAAAAACAAGTTGTCTAGGATAGTGTGGAAGTATTAAGACAGATTGCGAAGGGTCCTGCAAGGCCTCCTTCCTCTAGAGAATGAGAGATCACACTGAGTCTTCTATGCCTATCAGTCATCATTGCTAATGTTCTCTTCTGGTGCTCAACAAGAGCACCAGACAGACGAGTCCTCTGCCAGAGGAGAGCTAAGATTAGAGGACAAATTGTGTCAAGGGAAAAAAGCTTGAAGGAGCTAAGAATGCTTAGCTTGGAGAAGAGGCAACAGGACACGGCTTTGGGAAGTTTAAGGATGGTCCAGTGAAATACATACTACATTTTTGCACCCCAGCTAAGCTGACCCATGATGAATGAGTAGAAAATAAAAGGCCAATTTCTGGCTACTCTTTTTCACTGCCCGCCCCCCATTTCAGTGAACGTTAAACCTCTATTAGACATGCAAGGTCCGTGCTAAATGCTGGACGGGTTGGCCCTTTCCCTCAAGGAGCCAGTCTAGTAGGAGGTCAGAAATACAGATGGGCCCGAACATAATGATGGTTTGACTTCCAATTTTTCAACTTTAGGATTGTGCAAAAGCTATACACATTTAGTAGAAACAGTACTTCCAAGTATCCATACCATCATTCTGTTCTTCACTTTCAGTACAGTATTCAATAAATACAGTATTCAATAAATTGAGACAGTCAATACTTTATTATAAAATAGGCTTTGCATTAGATGAGTTTGCCCAACTGTAAGCTAATGTAAGTGATCCAAGTAAGTTTAAGGTAGGCTGGGTGTATTAAATGCATTTTTTACTTAAGTATTTTCAACTTTTGTTGGGTTTATTGGGATATGCCCCATTTTAAGCTGGGAAGCATTTGTAGTATAATAAATGTGGGGAGTGCTGTGAGAGAAATAAGTGTACTGGGTTTAGTTCCCATTGCCCAAAAGAGGAACTGACTAATGGTAACGGGGTCGGGGCGGGGAGGGGGAAGTTTGGTAAGTTGCACGGAGAAGACAACCCTTGAACACTTGCAAGGAGGTAACCGTACCTGTTTCTGGAGTATTTAAATGCCAGTGGGCATGCTAAATACTTTTACCTCATTTAGACCACCTACTAACCTTACAAAGTAGTTCACGTTGCTCACCCAATTTTACAGATTGATGAAACTGAAGCAGACATATTAACCTGTCAAAGGTCACACTGGAAGTGTGTGATTACGGTCCAAGCAGCTTGTACTTGTTGCCTGTTTGTTTCGCCTCTCCTATGTATTTGCCAGGCAGATGAGAGTGGGGTAAGAAATTGCAGAGAAAAAGTAAGAAAAGGCCATCATGAAACTATTTCATTTTCTGACCTTATATGCACGTTGAAAGTACTGAGATTTATGCATAACTTCATGGGAGTCCTGCCAGGGATAAAGCTAGAAGGACAAGTGAGGGCCAGATTGTGAAGGGTCTTACAAGGCCTGCCTTCTCTAGAGAATGAGAGACCACTCAAAACGACTAAGCAGAGAAGTGACATGATCAGGTTTTGTGTCTTAGAATGTGTTTCGGTGTTGATCCAATTGTGACTAGAAGCGTAACTTGGCACCTGGATTGACGGGGTAGGAGATGGGAGAAAGGAATGCAATCTGGCAGCAGCTACAACAGTCCAGGTGGGAAAACTCAGAGCCTGGACTAAGGTGGTAACTACAGGGCATAGGGTAGAAGCACTGGAATAGAGATGTTGACAAGGGAAAGTC